GATTGCTGCAAAGTGAGCAACTAAAAGGAATCACCTGGATCTGCTTAGATACACAAAAATTGACTGTGTTGCTTTTCTTTTTTTTCTTCTTTTTTTGAACTAATTTGAATTTTTTTGAATTAATTTAAATAAATGCAGATGAGTTTCAACATGTTCCTTTGATTCACTTCACTATATATTTCTTTGTATAAAAGAATCTGTTTTGTGTATTGGTGCAATATTTTACATTCAATTGAATTTGAAAGAAAGCAGCACATTAAACAGCTTATTGGAAATATTTAAAATATCTATTTGAATAAGGTTACTCTGTAAAAAAAATAATAAATACAATCTGATGTAGAATTAAGATATATATATAATTTGATCATTTGAAACAGGACTGATCTATACATATCCACACATTTGTCATCTAAGATATGTAAAAAAAACAAAACAAACAAAAAAAAAAACAAAACAAAACAAACAAAAAAAATATATATATATTTTTTTGTTTTTTGTTTTTTCTTTTTCTTTCTTTTTTTTTTTTTTACATATCTTAGAAGACAAATGTGTGGATATGTATAGATCAGCCCTGTTTCAAATTACAGGCATGAAGGCCAATTGTGACATTAATCCTGAAATTGAGCAAAAACCAGGCTGGTAACCATGTTCATTCAAAGCTTATCGGACAAGTCAAAGGCTTTTGAATATTTCAAATCGCCAAAGACCTTCAATCTTTTGGTTTCAGTGGCCCAGTCTGATAAAGGATGTAGAGTTCTTGAAAGAACATCAGTGTTTCCTGGGTATAAAACATGGTCTTAAAGCATGTTTTATACATGCGCCAATATGGCCAGATTTGTTTGTTCCAGCAGTTTCACTCGAAAAGAAGAGCACATGATCCGAAAAATGGTCTACCAAAAAGTTTCACCATGGGACCTTGCTGGCTCCTGCATCTGCCGATGTCAAACTCAATAGCTGTACAAAAATAAAGAGGCTTAATTTAAGATTGTAAGAGAAAACATGGAGAAACAGCAAAACCAGGGTTCTGGACTAGTGTTTATTTGACTTTGTCTAAAACTGATATCTTTGAATGCCTGCAGAGAAGACATGTTTGGCAGTAATATTAGGGGGAAACAAGAGTAACTGGAAATAACGCAGACACAAGGAGAACATACTACCAGAGGGACCCCACATTTGGGTTCCAACCCAGGACCTTTTAGCAAGGCAACAATGCCCACAGCTGCTCAATAATATACACAACAGATATATGTTTCACTTAAACTGGGGCAGAAATGTAACCAATGCACATTGTAGTGACCCACAACAAACAAATAAATCCAACAAGGATCACCATGAAACTCAGAAATAAAATGTCCTCGAATGGGATTAAAACTCTGACATTTGGTAATACTGCAGGATGATGTGAAAGGGGCTCCATGGGAACATTAAAGAAAACCCTCAAACATCTGACAGCAGAAAATGAGGAGGGGAGCAAAACCGACTGCAGTAAACCAGAGGCGTAGCTAGAACATTTTTACAAGGGTGGCTGGGCAACAACCAATGTACACTGAGGGGTGGCCAAAAGTGGATGGTCGCCAGAACCTCAGGGTCAATCTACAATGCTCCTACAGGAAAATGAACAAGCGAAACATCCATATTTTCTAAATAAAGACAAACTATACTTTCCTACAGCCTTTGTAACAAATAGACGCAAATATTTAAACATCCGTGCTTTCTAGATAAAAGGTATAGTGGATACATATTCTTATAAGTTTGAGTTCTGCGCCTAACATCTTTTCCATTGTTATTACTTACCTACTTGTATCAATAATAATTCTGCATAAAATAGATATTTACAAGTACTAATATTTACATAAATTGATTATTCAAGTTCTTATTAAAATAGTTATCTATGATTTAAATGAAAACACCTAGATGACTTGCAGAAACAACATTTTATTTTTATCATTTTACCCTATATAACACCAAATGTAGTTCTGAAAAGATAATAAAATCTGTACTTATCATCTTTAATGTTAGTATATTGATGAACAATATACATCAACCACTGCATCGAGGACGTCAGCACAACAAAGACCATCACCACCCGAGCCAACCAACGGCCCTGGATGACTGAGGAGGTCCGCCACGCGCTAAAAGCACGGAACTCAGCCTTCAAGTCTGGTGACAAGGAGGCACTGAGGACAGCTAGAGCCACCCTGAACCGTGCCATCAGGTTAGCAAAGCGGAACCATAACCAAAAAATCCAGCATCTGTTCCACGACGCCAACAACACCAGGAGCATGTGGCAAGGCATACGGGCGATCACAGACTACAACACGCCCCCTGCCCCGGTGGATGAAGTTGATGCTGACTTCCTAAACGGACTAAATAACTTCTTTGGGAGGTTTGAGGCACTAAATCGCACTCCAGCAGTGAAGGCTGTCCCACATCAGGAAGAGGAGGTTCTCTGCCTTGACACAGCCGACGTGTGGAAGACTCTGAGGAGGGTCAACCCGCGGAAGGCCCCAGGTCCCGACAACATACCTGGGCGGGTGCTCAAGGAGTGTGCAGGTCAGCTAGCTGGTGTCCTCACGGACATTTTTAACACCTCGCTGGAGCAAGCCACAGTGCCAGCATGCTTCAAGTCTGCCTCCATCATCCCAGTGCCAAAGAAACCTCAAGTCACCTGCTACAACGACTACCGGCCCGTCGCACTGACTCCCATCATGATGAAGTGCTTTGAAAGGCTGGTAAAGGAACACATCGTCTCCAGTCTCCCCCCAACACTCGACCCGTTCCAGTTTGCCTACCGGCGAAACCGCTCCACTGAGGACGCCATCTCCTCTGCTCTTCACCTGAGCCTGGCCCACCTGGAGGAGAAGAACACCCACGTGCGGATGCTGTTCCTGGACTTCAGTTCAGCGTTTAACACCATCATCCCACAGCACCTGGTGGGAAAGCTGGAACATCTGGGCTTCAACACACCCCTTCGAAACTGGCTGCTGGACTTCCTCACCAACAGACCTCAGTCAGTCCGGGTCGGTCAGAACACCTCTGATGTCATCACCCTCAGCACGGGCTCCCCTCAGGGCTGCGTCCTGAGCCCCCTGCTGTTCACCCTGATGACATATGACTGCGTCCCCAGGTTCACCACCAATCACATCGTGAAGTTTGCGGACGACACCACGGTGGTGGGCCTCATCAGGGACGACAACGACCGGGACTACAGAGAGGAGGTGGAGCAGCTGGTGGACTGGTGCAGTGAAAACAGTCTGATCCTGAACGTGGAGAAGACGAAGGAGATCATCGTCGACTTCAGGAAAAACCGCCCCCACCATGCTCCACTGCTCATCAACAGCTCAGCTGTGGAGGTGGTCAGCAGCACAAAGTTCCTGGGGGTGCACATCACGGACAACCTCACCTGGACTGTAAACACTTCATCTCTAGTGAAGAGGGCACAGAAGCGCTTGTACTTTCTGCGGAGGATGAGGAGAGCCCGCCTGCCCCCGCCCATCCTCACAACCTTCTACAGAAGCACCATAGAGAGCATTCTGACCAGCTGTCTCTCTCTGTGGTGTGGAGGCTGCAGAGCTTCTGACTGGAAGAATGTGAGGAGGGTGGTGAGGACAGCGGAAGGAATCATTGGGGCTCCTCTTCCCTCCATTAAGGACATTTCATCACAGCGCTGTGTGTCCCGAGCCCGTAATATCATCAAAGACCCCTCACACCCCCACCATGGACTGTTCTCCCTGCTGCCCTCTGGAAAGAGGTTCCGCAGCATCCGCTGCAGATCCACCAGGTTGTGCAACAGCTTCTTCCCCACTGCCATCAGACTGTTGAACCTTTGATCCACAATCCGAACTCTGCACCTATTGCACATTATCGGGCATCAAATGCTGCTGAACTTTTAACTTTTAGCCCTTTAAATTGTTCATCTCATTGTATTTTTCAATAACGCATTTTTTGCACAAATGCCATTTTGCACTGAACCACTGCGACTTGCACACTGTCTCTTATCCTCTGCACTGTTCACACTTTGACCACTGCTGCACTTTTTGTATTTTTCTATAACTCGTGCCATTTGAAATATCAATGCAACGTTCATAAGCTGTATGTAACGCAATTTCGTTCTGTATGCACCCTGTGCATACAAAATGACAAATAAAGAAGTCTAAGAACATAATTAATCACAAAAAATAGAAATGTTTTGAATTTTCCACCTGAGTTTTACTGTTGCTACTGTCTGTATTAAGGGCTGGTTGTACTCATCACAGCCGTGTATCACAGTGAGCTTGAAGAAGACATTTTTGCTTTATGCTCAATATTGAAGCGTGGTCTGCTCTATACGCTGTGGGTCTAGATACTGCCGAGGCAGAGAGGAAGTGGGGGCAAGTTTGTGCAACAAAGGAGGGACATGGCGGCGAAAAAGAGCCGGGATCCAGGTGGAAAAAGGGTCCCAGCGTTCTTGCGCACCTCGCTCTTCTAGCTGGTCAAACTTCTCGAGTTGTTTTCCGCAATTGCGGTCATAAAAACAAAACAAGACTGCCTCCTGTCTGCGGCACTGTCTGCGGTCACCTATAATTGGGGAGAGGTGCAGCAGAGTGTCTACGAAGGGGGTGGGGACGTCTGTTTGTTCACTGCGACCGACGCCTACGCAGACACCCTAGTTTCGAAGTATGAATCAGCCTTTAGAGGGAATCAATGGTGGCCAAATCAGCTCAGCCCCTGCAGTAAACCTCAGGGGAACAGGGTTAATTTAATGAACCCCCTTTAGACTTACTTAATGGAGCAAGTTTGTTAACTGGAAAAAAAATATGATGGCTTTTTTTTATTTAGTTGTGTTTTCTTATTTGCTGAAGTTTGGAAACATTGTTTGCAGTACTATTATTATTATTATTTCAATGACAAAGTAAATCCCTGGCAGAGTTGATTTGTGGGTGTGGGGGTGTCACTGGCGATGTCGACACGAAGGGATGTGTGTGTGTGTGATGTGGTGTGTGTGTGTGTGTGTGTGTTCAGCGGACTCCCATCAAAACCAAGATGGCGCCGAAGCGCACAGCCGGCTCGGTCTGGCTCGGTGAGTGACGGACACACGGAGGAGGCAGCCCGTCCAACTGTGAGACTGTGAGGCAAACCGAAATAAAACAGCAATCCCCATTCAACCCTCAGCCATGCAGCCGCACCGACAGCCCACCAAGTGAAGTTCACCGTGAGCCGATTTAACGTCCATAAGCGGGTAAGTAGGGAATGATGAACCGTTACCGAGACACTGGAGGGATTTACGGAACAGCTGCCGACCAACATTGTGCTGCCTCTGTTGCCTTCACGGGCGCTGTCTGCTTGTTTATATGCGTTTACATTGTACCACCGGCTTTATTATATAACTGAGCCTTTTAAGCTGAAACCGAACGTTATTCCACAGGTTGTTCGAATTAAATCAATTAAGGGAATCTAGATTTCACTAAATGGAAGTGAACCAAACCACATCAAACAGTGAAGTCATTGGGGTTTAAACCTGTCAAGCATGCGGTTCAGCGCTAAAAATAACCCCAGTATTTCCTTACTCGTCCTGCATCCTATAACTTGAACGTATTCTATGTATTTAATTAGCTTTCCCTTCGTAGAATATACTTATTCTGGTGCAGAAGTTGCAGTGATTGCATGTAGGTGTGCTGTGGGGGATTTCTTGCTGGGAGACTGGAAGGTAGGTCAGTGCAAAACTGTTTTAGCTTTAAAAAAAAACTGTTTCAGATGGTGTGTGTGTGTGTGTGTGTGTGTGTGGGGGGGGGGGGGGGTACAAGGAGAGCAGCATGATGACTGGGTGGTTAGTTTATGCAAATTAAGCTTTATAAACATTGATCACGTGATAGTTTGTGATAGGTGTTGCAAAAACACTAGATTAGAAAGTAATGCATAAAACAGAGGTGCTCTTTGCATCAATAGGGGCCCGGGTTGGCCCTTTCCTCTGCCACCACCCACACAGCCTAACACATGGCCATCCCTCCAGGAATATCAACAGACACAACATCCATTAAAAAAAAACAACAACAACAAAACACTGATGTCAGACCAGATTTTTTTTTATTATTTTTGCTAATAAATATATACACATAAAATGCTTCTTCGTTTTCTATTTTATTATTTTTCTTGGTTCTGTATCTAATAGGTTGCGCAGCTTTTCTTTTTCTCTTACTAAATAGAAGAGCCCAGATGACTTGCAGAGACACAAAGCTTTCCTTTCTCCCCCAAAAAGAGAGAGATACTAGTTCAACCTGAAAAACTCACACGAACAGAAAAGACAATTAAGAGAAATGTATTAATACAATTACTTTGTCTTTGGCGCTCAGACCTCGGCAGGAAACATTGCGCTTAATTTTGATAGATATGCATGAACAGGAGCAAAGAATAGGGCTGTTTCCCCCCAGGCCTGAAACTGGTATTAGAGTATAGATAGATGAAGTTGGTCAGTCTGTAGACTGCTGGTTAGCGAGACGGTCTGCTGAGCTTTATGGGGAGATCCAGTGGATTGCGTGAGCTGATACTAGAGCTTCATCCAGGGACCTGGAAGATGGAAGTCCAGTTAGATAACACAGGTTGAGAGAACCTGTCCATGATGAGCAAGCATGAAGCGACAGTGGAGAGGAAAAACTCCCAGTTGGGAAGAAACCTCTGGCAGAAGCAGGCTCAACATGGCGAGCTTCTGCCGGACTGGTTGAGATGAGACAGGGAACACAGTAAGAGTCCGGGAGGAATCACACTTTGATGAAGCTTTAGCTACGATGGTGGAGGAGGGGCTGGAGGTGGGTTGAAACGGTGTCATCTGAATGAAGTCACACATCGCATCCACAGCCTGTGCACTTTTAAGATTAACCTTGGATGCTGATTGGCTTTCGTGGAGGTGTGGTTCAAAGCTGATTGGCTGTGTCGCAGGTGGATATAGGAGAGCAAGCAGTTTCTTCAGTTGAACTTCCGTCTAGGCTCCAATTCAGAAAAAAAGGATAACACTGTTTACCTTAAGATTGTGATTTGAATAAATCATTTCTGTAATTTTGGTGTCAGATTATGATTGAAACAGTTTTCAGAGCCAGCTTTGATGTGCTTCTGTCATTCATACTGTGGAATGAAAATATTATGTTACCTGTTTTTGTAACCAAAGCTGCACAGTTTTTATACAGAACATGGCATGGCTGCAAATTGCAGCCTAGAGGAGCTGCATCATAAACCTTAAAGCATTGTGAAATTTATTTTTATTTATGATACAGGAATAATATTTAACAATAAAGTAATTATAAGATTGTGATTATCATCAGCTGACATTTCAGTGACATTTCTTTAGGAAAACAAAAAATCTATATTTTTTCCTTCTGATTAGAATAGAATAGCATAGAAAATGCCTTTATTGTCCCACAATGGGGGAATTCTGAATAATGCTTTTCCCAGCTTTTATGGAAAACAAGTAAATAAAACCAAAACATCGTTGTACAGAGCTTGGGGATGGAAACAGGATACATAATGGTTACTTTCTACTTCACTCAGAGGCTAGTTATAAGCTAACAAAATACCCCACAGTTATAAGCAGCCACATAACAATACATTAGGGCTGCAACTAACGATTAATTTGCAATTCGATTCATTTTTTGATTGGTATAATTGCTGCTCAAGGTGGGATTGTTCTGTCAGCCAAAGGCATGTTTTAGAATCTCTAAACTCCAGTTAATGATTAATCCATTACTAAATTAGTTGATGATTACTTCAACAATCAATTAATCTGATTAATTGTTTCAGCCCTAATAAACATTGTCTTATTTTTACTTTTCAAGTAAAACACATTTTCTTATCTTAAAAAAAAGATAAAAACATGAAAATAATTCATGTTTTAAATGACCTCAGACTCTGAGCTCCTCTACAGGGGAAGAAACTGTGAGAGAAACTCCACCATTCTCCATGAAATCCTTCAGTAGTATTATCCATCCATCCATCCATCCATCCATCCATCCATCCATCCATCCATCCATCCATCCATCCATCCATCCATCCATCCATCCATCCATCCATCCATCCATCCATCCATCCATCCATCCATCCATCCATCCATCCATCCATCCATCCCATTTTTTTTTAAACATAAACATTTTTATGTGCATAAGAGTTATGAGAATATAGATGACTCCGATTGCATCCATGTAAGGAATTTCATTATTTTCCACTAAATATAAAGTATGTATGAAATAATCGAAGTTGCAGTGCTGATTTTGTTAGGGAGGATAGTTGTTTTGGAAAAGTAGCTGCAGGAAATGCACTGTATGTTTGACGCATAAGGCATTGCAGCTTAATAGCTGCTGGAGCTTATTTTGATTCAGAGGCAGTCAAAGGGTTTCTTTTCTTACCTATTAGCTTAATATTATTTTTTTAATGTTGCACAGACTGGAAAGCCCTTTCAGATCTCCCACAGCATTTTGTATAAACCTTTTTTTAAATCAGCATTTAATCACAATGTGCGTCATCAAAGAGGAAGATTTTGATGTTTTATGAATTTTTTTTATTTTTTTACACGTGTTGGCCAGGTCTTTTTCTCCTTCTGTTGAACTGCTTGTCATGTCTGTTCATGTCCAGAGGGTACAAGGTTGTCCTTTTGGAATGCCAGAGAGGAGGAAAAGGTCATACTTAAAATGAAGGAATGTTGCCTGACTGAAAAGGGCCAAATGGCATGTACTGTCATTGACTGACCTAGCTGTGTAGCTGTGTGCAAGATCTGCAGCGGTGAGTGAAACATCAAAAAGGAGCAGACAAGAGAGCTAGACTTTGTGTGCCTCAAGGTAACCCGCTGTCTGTCCGTCTCTTGTGGCTGGGATGGGTTTTAATGCTTCAGGCGCATGGTTTGCGTTATTTTGCATCTTGAGTATTATTGAACAAAACAAATAGGTAAAACGAGTTGACTGTACAGAGAGATAGTTATAAAGTTATAAAGAGAAGTTATAAAATGGGAATATTCTGAATACCGGGCCTGGAAATTGTTGCGAATGTTTATCTGATTCCATCTCTGGTACTGTTGCCTTTGTCTGATTGTGGGTTTTCCTTCAGTTGTATGCATGGATTCATTTTTTTTCTATGTGGGACAGAGGATGTTGTCTCATACTGCATCTCAGCTGGTTTTCATTTCATGCCTTCATAATTAATGTAAAAATCTCCTTTCTCTCTATGGGGTTTGTTTTGTTATGAAATCATAGCTCAACTGTAGCACCATGAAGTGATTCCCGTGTGGTGGCAAGCTGGTCTTTTAACATCTTTTAGCAGATGATAACTTAAGCTTTAAACAAAACAGGGCATTATTAAACGTAGTGAAACTTTTGACTGAGAGAGCTTGTTGGGATGAAGTTGATGTTCAAACTTCCAGTTGAAGGAGTGATGGAGAAGAAATGCATAGCCACAAGGGGAGCTTTAACTTTCACCTTAAAGATGTAGCAGGGGCTTTTTGGGACTGTTTTTTTCTGGTTGCTATCCTTGCAGTCCCTGTTGGTGTAAATCCTGAATCACTGTGGTGATAGCAGTGTTTTAACAGCTTGGATTAGGACCCTTGATGTTCCTGGATTGTTTCTAGACATCCAAAACTTCATTTTATCCAAGAACGATAGTTTGTGTTTGCTGGTTAAACTTGGGTTCCAATGGATTCCATATATGAATGAAAAGACGTTTCTTTTAATGTGTATCCTACTGCACTTAATTTTAGGGGTGGAACGGTTCACAAAATCCACGGTTCGGTTCGGTTCACGGTTTCGTGGTCACGGTTTTCGGTTCGGTTCGGTATAAGTTGATTGTTACACCGAAATCCCATAAAAATGAATGAAAAAAAAAATTAATGAATTGTAATTATTTTTAATGATCCGTGGAAACCCTGGATCATTTGTTGCTTTGAATTTAATCATCTCGCGCATGCCCTCTACGATCTCCAAGGAACTCAGAGTGGAGCGGACGGGAGCCACAGCGGAGGCTGTAGGCTTTGCTTTGTGCAGGCGGTCTGGAGTGCAGCGGAGCGGAGCGGAGCGCTGACGGAGTATGTGGGATTTCGGGGTTAGCATGACATGTTGGTTATGTTGCTGTTAGCATAAACAAAACGTGTCGCACAATGCTTGCACACTGTTGCACGTTTATCCACAACTTTCTTTCCGCCGTCATCGTAGGTCACTCTAAATGCAAAGTGGTCCCATACAGCAGACCTATAAAGTGCTGCTGGCGCGT